ACGTGCATTTTTATTAGGCTACTCAAAATTTAATTCTGTTTTTTGCTATTAGATGGCATTAGGAGTTTTTAGTTTTAACTAACTTCATTAAAACCTCAGCATATGAAAGTGAATTTATACATTTTCTTTGTTCTTGGGAATTGACAACAAAATAATAAATACTATTTATTGGAAAAACATCAGCTAAATTCCAATTGATTAGAACTTTATAAAATGGTAAATAATAAGGATTTCCTTATAGATGGGTCATATACTTTACTAATTTAGTAAATGTTTAAAAATTGTTCTCATACTTATTTCTTTATAAATTAGTAAATGACAAATATTGCATTGCATTAGTTTTAATTTTATTAGTGTTTAGAATGTTGTAAATATAAAATTGTTCTTGTAAATAATCAATCTAATTAATAATGTTTATTTTTGTTGTAAGTTCTCAACAAAAAAGTGTATAAATTCACTTTCATCATATGTTTATGTTTTATTACAATTCTAATCATTGCCTTTTTAAAATAATAAACATTGTTGAGGACTGGAGATAATTAAAATAATAGTGGTGTCAAGGGAAAAACCTTTCTTTTAACACACAAAATAATGACATCATCAAGATACTGATTTTGCACACAACTTAAAACAAAAGGCTAGGAAGGAAACCCCTGTCAATACTGAAAAGAGCAATAACAGCTATTGAACCTGAGGAACCTATTTATCTGAAATATTGTTACATTATTTAAATTGTTCAGACTGTAAAGATGAGGACAACAGTCTAAACAATGTAAATAATTACAATATCTCATCTCAGAAATATACACAGATCCTGAAGAAGGCTGGAGTGTACAATAGCCGAAAGTTCATGAATATGGCAATAAAGATGAGGACAACAGCCTGAACAGTGTAAATAGTGTAAATAATTACAATACCTCATCTCAGAAATATAGACAGATCCTGAAGATGGACAGAGCTTGCAATGGCTGAAACATCATAGATATGCCAACAAAGATGGGGACAACAGTTTGAACATTGTAAATAATGTAAATAATTACAAAACCTCATCTCAGAAATATAGACAGATTCTGAAGAAGGCTGGAGCATACAACAGCTGAAACATTGTGAATATGGCAATAACGATGAGGATAACAATCTGAACATTGTAAATAATGTAAATAATTACAAAACCTCATCTCAGAAATGTAGGAAATGATGCAATTTCCCGTCAAGGAAAGTTAGAGAAAAATCGGATCAACTTCTTAGATCTTACTTATTATAAAACACAGATTGTGTGTGTGTGTGTGTGTGTGTGTGTGTGTGTGTGTGTGTGTGTGTGTGTGTGTGTGTGTGTATACGTTTATATATTGGATCGAATTTCCTACATTTTCCAACCGATTTCAACAAAACTTCACAGGACTACGTAAAATTACCTTGCGGTGGTTCTAACAGTGCCAAAAATTGGAAAAACACAATTGTTTTTGCATGAAATCAATTTGAAAACACGATTAAGAGGCATCACGGGAATGAAAGGGGGACAACTCATATCGAGTTATACTTATTATAAAACCCAGGTTGTGTGTGTGTGTGTGTGTGTGTGTGTGTGTGTGTGTGTGTGTGTGTGTGTGTGTGTGTGTTCGTTTATATATGGGATCGGATTTCCTACATTTTTCAACCGATTTCAACAAAACTTTACTTTTTTTTTTGGCAAGTAGTGTTTCTTATTAGCTTGCACACTTTTTTCTTTATTTTTACATTCAGAATGCTTTAAAAATTCCATTCGCAAGACAATTGTTTATAATAAAATTCTATTCAATCGGTAGACTCATAACGATTGAAAACAATGTTTTTGTTTGAGTTTGGGTTTGACCAATTCGTAAAAAAAAAAAAAAACTAATTAAGACATGCGTGTCCGTCAACCTTAAACAATAATCTTTGTCAATTTTATTTTTCAGTCTTTATGATGGTCGATACTTGATCTATCTCTTACTGTTACATCCTCGGGCAATGCCGGGCTCTACTGCTAATTCTTAATATATAAAAAACGCCTATGCACATTTTCTAAAAAAATAAAACACTCAACCACATTTTTTCACCAAAAATTATGCAGTTCCTTCATAAGAAATTAGTGGAGGTAACGCACGTGTGTGCATAATCACATCAGAATATTTGTTTAATGAGAATATTTTCAAAATGCTTCAGTTTACTTGTCCGGAAAGATGAACAAAACTGTATCTCACAAGCAGACTACTCTATACAACTGTCTCTCACTGCAAGCCCGCGCCATTGATCGCTGAATGAATTCAAATTACAATTCTCAACTTGGCAATAATGCTTTTAACGCCACGCGACTGCTGATATTTCTCTGTGACTCTCAGGGACTTTAAAGAAAAACAAAACACAAACGATTAATTTTTGTTCTAAGATATTTCCACATTTCTTGTGTTGTAAAAAGAAAATAAAATAAAAACTTCTCTATTTACTATTAATAATCGTTTTCAATTAACGTTAGTTTCACTGCAGAAATATAGACAGATATTGAAAAATTGTTTTAAGAGAAAGATTTTATAAATTTCTACGAAAAATATTACTGCATATCCAGTCAATGAATGTTAAATGCTTCCTTATAAGGAAATATCTAATATTACCATCACCATTGGGAAGTGCCTAAAACCATTTCACAGGTTAGCCTAAACCTTGTGAGTGAAATTAGGAAGACAAAGCTGTTTGAAAGAGGTCAAAGGTTGTGTAATCATAAAAAAAACTTGTTAAAAACTTAACAATGTTTGTCTTTTTATTATCTCCCCACTATCTATTTACACAAGCTTTTTAGGTAGGTTACTCACTCTTTCTCCCTATCATGCTTGTCTTCAATATGTCTTGTGAATGTCAAATTTTCCAAGCCCTCTTTCCTCATCTGCACCAGGGATTTCAGCTGCTTCTATCTGATTCTAAATATAAATCAGTTTGGCTCTGTAGGTGATGAAGAAACACAAATGTATCTAAGCAGGTTTGACGGTGATCGATAAGTTGGTGTTGATGTAGTAGTTGGGAGGGGGGATCCTTTTTACTTTTTTTTTTACTGAAAATGAAATTAATAAAAAACATACAACTATAACAAACAATAATACTCAAGACACATGTTGACATTAATAACAAGAACTTGTATTTTTCTTTTTTGTGATATGAATTACAGATTGGTATGTTGTGCGTTAAAAATGTTCTCAATCTCACTCTTTTCTTTCTTTAAAAGTTTGTGCCTATTTTTTTTTTTTTTTTTTTTTGTTCTGAGAATTTCATTGGTGACGATGTCATTTGAGATCATCCATTTTTGGTTTTCAAGGAGGGATGAGGATATGCAGTTGTAGGGCCTTTTTACTACTGCTACTATCACTTGCTACTCTAGTCTAGTCTACTCTACAGATTTCACTGTCCTGACTGCCATCACTTGTGGTGGAAGGGTAATTTTTATAATCAGATTTTAGAATGATGAAATATCTTTCTCATTTTATCACTGGTGGATTGTTTTGAGGATGTTTGAAATTTTTTATCTTTATTTCAGGGGTGATGAAATTTCATTATTTTCTATCATCACTGATGGCAAGGTTATTTTTAGAATGATGAAATATCATTCTGGATCATGACGCAGGCATCTACAACAGGGATTACCTAGCCATTCTGGTAGATTCTATGATTTCTTAAGACTGATAGATGTATACGTCCCTTGCTATAGTCTATCTTTACAAGAGACTGATCAGATCAAAAATCAGACCATATCTGAGCTGAAGCTGCCCAGCTCCCACTTGTTTGACTTGATAGAATTCAAAAGTATCTATGCAGCCTTAGGGTTAATGAATTATTTTCCACCCTACAATCCCTTTCCCACAAGTGAAAAATTGCAAGCCTCTTGCTGCTCTATTGCTACTTCCATTTAGTCCCACTACACCCTAACCCTTAAAACTGGGACCTACCTTACCACTTGCACAAGGGTGAATCATCCCCATTCATTTCATATTCAATTAATAAGAAGTAAGTTCCATTCAGACATCTTCTTTCCAAGAACTACTGTTTTGTGGAACAGAGTCCAGACAGCATGTTTTTTCAATCACTTCAATCTTGACCTTGTCGGGTTACCTCCACCTAATGTTTTGAAACCACTACTTGGGGACACTCTCCAGACTATAAATACATTACGATAATTTTTTTTAGCCTCTTCTTACCTTATCCGCTTACTCATAAACATGTAAATCTCTCACAGTGAATGATTTGCCTACTTTGCTTTGGGAAACACATAAACTAACCATACCTACACAACATACGTACATAGACACACTCACTCATTTCACATACTTGGAACCAAAACGGTTTTCACATTTTTTTGTGATGTAATGAATATACATACACCTGGTTCCCCCTCACAGTAATATGATTGGCTGGTGTCAGCCATAAATACAGACTGATGTGGACGCCTACGGAGGACACCTACTGGCTACACCTATAGTCTTCGCCTATTGCCTACCACTACGATAAGGACCAGTCCATTACAGTTACCTGCTAGATTGTTCTACCCAGTTACAGTAGTCAACAACCACTTGGGTACTTCAAACAAATATATCCCTTTCCGGGACATATCATTTTGTTGTTACACACATTGTTGTTTTGTCACTTGTATACTTGCATACAACACCACACGGTAACCCTCTAGCTTGAGTGGCTCTTGCGCCATATATTTAGAGAATATATATATAAAAATATTTGTTAATTTTTTTTGTATTTTTGTTTTAGTTTTATTAATTTGAATTTCTTTCTTTTTCTTTGGAAATGTGCGAAATTATTATATTTAAAAAAAAATTAATTTGGGGATTTAATTTTTAAGTAAACATTATTAAAATTGTTCATATAAAAACAGAAAGCAATAATTTAAAAAATAAAATAAAAAGGAGATAAGGAGACTAAATATTTAGACAACACGTGAGAGTGATTTCCCTTGGATTGAGAATCTGTTTCAGATTTTCAAAATGGCGCTCGTGCACTTATCATCGTCGTTACGTGCAGTGCACAGTTTTACAAGCAAAGCAAGTCTTTGCTTTCTCAGGCAAGTCTTTGAAACACTGGCCATGATGAAACAATCAGTGCATTATTTTAAACTTTTTTTTCACCTTTGCTTCTGTATTGTTATTACTTTTTACAACTTTTGTTGTTCACTAGAATAATACACGTGCCCTCAATTACGATTTGTATATTTTCTTTTCTCCCCTATCAGTAAGAATTCACTTAAATGTTTTCATCTCTGTAAAGCCCGAAGTATTCTGGATTCATTATTTGTTAACTAATTTTGTGGGAAATATTACTATTGATGTAATAATCAGTTAATGGTTAACGATCGTCCTTTTTTTCTCTTCTACAAGAACAATAACCGTTTTTTTGGAATTTAACAAAAGTTTTGAAAGTTTTGAATAACTTAGTTCCAATTTTCTCTTAAATGCAAAACAAATTATAATGTTTTATGAAATAAAAGTTGATTTTTTTTTAAGTAATAAAAACTAATATTGTATTTTGGTTAAAAGAAATGCATTATTTACACCTAATGAAAGAAAAAATGAAACTTTGTTTTGAATTGATTCTGCTGTTTTGTATGGCAGTTACTTTTACTTTTATTTCCCTCATCCTATTTTGTACTTTCGCTAGTCTTTGTTTTAAATAGTGTCAAATTTAAAAACAAAATAACCCTTACAGCTTCTTTGCTTTTCTTACCATTTTTTTTTTTTTTTTTTTTGTTATTGATTTGTCGCACCGAATTTATTGTCGAAGATTTTATTTACAATTTTAAGAAGTCAACAAATCGAACAATGAAAAATGTTTTTTTGTTTGGCTTTGGAGCCGAAATTTTCATTTATCACTTGTTACTTTTCTCAGCGAGAATTCGCGGAACAGAAAAATTTTCTGTTCTCAAAATTTAAATTAATTTACTACAAAATAACTGAAGAATGAAGAAAGATTTATTTTTTTAAAAAAAAATGCCATCATCTTTTGGTACAGAATAAAAAAAAAATAATATTAATTTATTTATTTATTATCTGAGTTGATTTTTTTTTTAAAGGACAATGGCAATAATGCAAAATATAGTTAAGAATAAGATTGAAAAAAGCTAACGATAGGGTCAACCGTTATCTTCCCCATTATATCCCGATATTGGGCCCCTTATTCTGTAACTATCTGCCTTGAGTGGCTCTTCGGCCTTGTACAGGGTTAACACCGTCATTGTAAGAAAATAGTTTTAAACTTGAAATTGTCCAAAACTTTTTAAGCATTCTTATTCATTTTTGATATTTTTTTTTTTTGCGTTTTCATTTTTTTTTCAAACGCCACTCGTTATTACAATCGATGGCCGTTAAATAGATTATTAAGTAACTGATTTCTCGTTCAAATTGTATAAGGCAAGAAAAGGTATTTTTTTTAAAAAAAATTTCAGCTCCATTGATCTAATTTAAAAAGACCTACAAAGATTTGTTAAAAAGATGAGGGTACATGAATGATGAATGCCCCAAACCAAAATGTTAAACAGTTTTATCATCAAAATCTTCGTTTAAGATCAAAGAATTTTTTTTTATTATTAAATTACATTTTTCTTTATCCTTTTCAGTTTTTGAATGAAAAGAGATGTGAGATAACACCCAAAAATAGCTGTGCAAAATTCTTCGTCCACCTGAAATTTTTTTTTTCTACACCACTGCTAAAATGCAAATATTGTTTTTAAGCAGGACCAATTTCTTTTCTACATAGAGCATAAACTTTGACATTGAATTCCTGCATTTTTTTCATTACTTGAAATCATGGAGAAAATTTCCAAAGAAACCAAGATGAAGATAGTGAAGACTAATTAAAAAAATCTTAAGCAATTTTAAATTATTGAAAATTTCTAATTATTGCCATCTTATAAGTGGATGTTTTTTATTGTATTGTCTGTAAATGAATCTTTGACCATATTTGAATAATCTTCATGCTTAATATTTTTAGCAAGGCTTCTGGATAAGGAAAGATGCAAGATGACACCAAAAATACCATGCAAAATGTTTTATAAGCTAAACTGTGACATTAAATTCCTGCATTCTTTCATTACTTGAAATAATGGTGAAAATTTCCAAAGAAACCAATATGAAGATAGTGAAGATGGCCAATAATCTGAATCTGTGAGCAATTGGTAAGGAGCTTGAAATATCAAGAAGCAGCATTTCAGATAAACAAGTGATGGATAAGTGTGACTGGTTCAATTTAGTGTCCATAGATAAAACTAAGTGCATTCTTCAAGAAAATATACTGAAGAGGTTTATTTCAATGAAGAAACCAGCTTTAAACAAAAATCTTTTGAAGACAACATTAAGTTGGTCAAAATGGTAGAAACTGTGGAAAGCAGACACTTGGGATAAAATCACATTTAGTGATGAAATGAAAACAGAGTTAATCTCTAATAAATGCATCTTTGTCAGATGACTGATAGTAAAATGAAATGAGCCATGTTACACAACAAGGATGGGGAAAGATCTGTGGGGTAAGAATCTGATGCTTTAGGTGTGCATAAAAAGGGGGATGTTTCTAGAAAAAGGGATTGTTCTAGAAAATTGGTTCAAATTGACAATAGCTTGAATAGCATCAAATACATCCTGTTGTGAAAGGAACATTTGATACCAGACAGGGATAAAGGGGAGATTTTTTTTTTTTGCATTACAGAGCTCAATATCACAGATTGCATGCAACATGACAGAGACTGATTGATGAATGTGTCACCATATTGAAAGATCAACCAGATTGGAGTCCTGACTTAAATCTTGGATCAAATGTTGACAGAACAAACAAGTAGCATTTATCGGAAGAATACACATGATCTTGAATTGTGAGAGCCAAACATGGAATGGTATATGATGATGGTAAAGGATTTATACACATCCTATCCCAGGTGTATTGACGCAATTATTCAAACTACAGAAATGTAAACAATTTGCATTAAATTCTTGAAATCAACCATATATAATAAATTTTCATTAGACATTTTGTGTTTTTAAAACACAGCATCTGGGTTGGTTTTAATTTTATACACAGCTATTTTTGTGTGCCATCTTGCATCTTCTCTCCTTATTCAGAAACCTTGCATAAAAAAAAGAAATATATAATAATTAGTTGTGGAAATGACTCCAATATGGCTAAAGTTTTATCTGTAGACAGCACAATAAAAAAAAAAAACATCCACTTATTAATTAGAAATTTACAATAGTTTAAAATTGCTTAAGACTTTTGTGTGTGTGTGTATATATATATATATATATATATATATATATGTAACCATTATTTTAGGGGATACCCGTATTTGAGTAGACAATCCATTTTTTTTTAACAGTGTTTATTTTGTCTACTGGCCAATTTAAAAAACAGTGCATATACTGAAATACAGGTATCCACTAAAAATGACATTCGAAGTAATAAAAATATCCATTTAAAAAAAAACAAAATAAACTTCTTTTTTTATATATATATATATATATATATATATATATATATATATATATATGACAAAGTGGAAAAAAAATTTACTTGTGATGCATTACGTCCTGGAGGACTTCATCGTTGAAGTCCTGAATGACGAAATCCATCATAAAATTTCTCCAATACTCTTCTTGATATATAAAAATATATATTTGTGTATTTAGGCAGCAAATTCTATTTTAGGAATGTTTGATTTAATGAATTACAAGCATTGTCTGCTTATTTTTATCATAATCCTTTCATATTCATGAATATTTTTCTATATATTATAATTAAATAAGGCAAGAAATGCACTGTAACAGTGAGAATCACTTTTATTTTATTTCCCATTATTTTCCATCTGCTCTCAGATAGAAACTGAAACCAACTACACTCTTCCCTTCCTAGATATCATGTTACACAGAAATAATAATGGACTCAATTTTGACATTTACAGAAAGGCTACAAACAAAAATGACCTGATCAGTTTCTACTCAAACCACACTTCTAAAATTAAATCTGGAATTATTATAGGTTTCTATCTGAGAGCATTAAGAATCTGCAGCCCCTAATATTTACCTAAAGAAGAAACCTACATAGAAAACATTCAAAAACCTACAATACCCATATCATTTCATCCATAATGCAAGAAGAAAGGCATACAACTGAAACAAAAATAATAACATATGTAATAATATATATATATATAATTTTACACATATAGTACTGGTGTTAATCAAACAGTGCTCAGTGTAATATAACAGAGCTACTAAGTATATATCAATAAATATACATCATATTCTCCCTCATGGCTAGCACAAATTGGAGTTTCATCCATGACGCAATCTTCAGGTGCTGTATATGTAAAAGAGAAATGAAAATTTTAAAAAATGTAAATAAATAAAAAAATATTCATTTTTTTAAAAAACAAATCATTTTTTAAATTTCTTTTTTTTATATATGAAGAAAAATATACTGAAAAAACAATCAAAACTGTCAGATCTATATCTGTTTTATTTCAATGTCGGACATACATACATATATATATATATATATATATATATATATAATTCATAGACCAACATGAAAATTGAAATTGACAAATATAATTTTGAAATTAAAAAACTTTTAATCCCTAGCATATTATATAACTACACCAACATTGTGATAACTAGATATATGATACAATTCATTTTTGTCATAATGGTCAATTCATACCATATATTGCATGCTAGCATATATATATATATATATATATATATATATATATATATATATATATATATATATATATATATATATATTATTAATGAAAAAATAAAGTCGTCCCGGACAATTTCGGGTTTATTTAAGACCATTTTATGGACATTTTATTTTCTTTTTTATAAGATACAACAATTTAAGTAAATGCTCTGTTTATAATAAACAATAATTCAAAAATAACATTTAGCCTGTTTAAATATGATAGTCGTTCGTGGGCGATGTTGTTAAAATATTGAAGATGATTTCCAAAATTAAAAATCAAAAAACGATTGAAAAATTTTATAAAAGTTAAAGAAATCTCTTCATTTACGTGAG